AAGTCCACTTATCTTTTCGGTCAACTATCCTGAGAGAACTCCACAGTTAAGCGTGCTTGGGCTGGAGTAGTTTCAGGATAGGTGACCTTCCGGGAAGTGATTGTCGGAACTGTGTGAGTGAGGACAAAACACAGGGGAAGATCATGTGGAGATTTGTAGGGTCAGTAAACAAGTCTTTAAAGCCTCCCGGACGTAGCGGACCGTCCGTCGGACAGGAGTGGGTCCATGGGTCCGAGAGAGGACGTGGGACCCACTGGTAGGGACGGTCGGGGCGTTACAGTGTCACTAATACATTTTGCGAAAATATTAAGATTATATAATTTAAAGACTCCAAAACTAAGGAATACATATATCAGTATCATCGTCATATGTATCTTTGTTATGAACACTAGACAATGGGTTGACCCATGAACTCATTTAATTTGATGGGTTAGAAGGTTAAATGGGTTGACCCATTAATCTATTAATGTAATAAATAAATTAATAATTAAAATATAATAATAATAATAATAATAATCATCATCATCAACATCATTAATATTTGGCGGAAAAATCACGGATTTACATTTTTGGCGGGAAAATTTTACATTCACATTTTTGGTTAAAAATTATAAAAAAATTTGGCGGAAAAATCACGGATTTACGTTTGTGGCGGGAAAATTACGGATTTACGTTTTTGGCGGGAAAATCATGGATTTACATTTTTGGCGGACAAATCACGGATTTACGTTTTTGGCGGGAAAATTACATATTTTCGTTTTTGGTTAAAAATTATAAATTTTTTGGCGGAAAATTACGGATTTATGTTTTTGGCGGGAAAATTGCGGATTTACGTTTTTGACGGGAAAATTGCGGATTTTACGTTTTTGGCGGGAAAATCACGAATCATACATATAAAAGTAGGGTTTCACTCTCCCATGATTGGTCCACTTGGCATTTTTATTTTCAAAAATATAATATTTATTTTTAATTAAAATTAAATATAACACATTTAATCATATACATTAATCCATACTTTAAATTCAGACTTTACTACTAAATTGTAACTGAAATTACATAATTGTAAATTGACTATTTTTTCTCTATTCATTGTCATTTAAACACACTATAATTATAATTGTAACTCCTATAATCTAATTATTTAGAAATGTAACTTCCATCACTTCGTTTCCTATAAATAACTATTCTCACATCCTTCTCCACCATGTCTCAAATCCTAAATATCTTCTTTGTTTTGTTTATGTTCTTGCATGATTTGAAAACTCAATTAAGATATCATTGTAAGAGTTTGATTATATATTTTGTTTAATATATATTTTACATTCGTTTTAATTTTATTTCTTCTTTGTTTTTATGTACTTTTTCCTTCCTTCTTTGTTTTTTTTATAATATTTTTAATATAAAATTACATATGTATAATATAATTTTGATGGCTATGATAAAATTACCTTATTGATGCAGATTCAAAAATATTATTTCGGACCATCGCACAATAAGAGAATCAAGCTAAATAAACTATCTCTATCTTTTTTACTTTGGATGTTTGATTATTTCTTACATATTTCTGTATATTTATTTTATTTTTAAAAGTATGCAATATTTTAACGAAATAAGTTTTTGCAATCCAATTATCAAATTAATTTTCTTAACTCTCTCTTAGCTCCAAAAAAATTGTAATACATATTTTTAGTATATTCATAACTATAATTAGTTTATTTTATTTAACATATAATTATATAAAAATCATTAAAAGATTTATTTAATTAAAATTTGTAGTGTCGAATTTTTTTATATATAAAAAAATTTGATATTCCATTTCCAATCTAGCTTGTACTACAAATATGAAATCATTAGAATTAAACCTAGCAATATAACTTAAATTAAGGGAAATATAAAAAGAGATTAAACAATGAAAGTAATCTTTGGGATTTTTTTTAAAGTTTTTGATTGCACTTCATATGATTTTATAGGAAATATATTTAGTTTGTTATTTACAAAATAATTTGGAAATTGTAAATCCTATAATTTTTAAAAAAAAATTGTAACTTTTCTCACTTCTCATGCTATAAATACTCATTTTCTTATTCTCTCACCCTCTTCCATTATATCTCAAATCTTAAAAAAAAAAAGGTGTTTTGTGTTTTTTTTTGGTTGTTGTTGTTGTATGGATTAGAAAAGTTAATTTAAATATTATTGTAAAAACTTAATTCTAATGATGCATCTTTATTGTGTATTTTAGATTAACATTAGTTTTTTAAAGATGCATCTTCATTGTGCATTTTAGATTAACATCTTATAAGTAATCATTCTCTCATCTTCTTCTATTATATTTATGTGTCTATTTTTATGTTGTATATGGGTTAAAAATCAAGAATTTGATTCTAAATTTATTTTAGAAAGTATTATATATATATCTTAAATTCTATTTATTTTTGTATATTTCTAAAGTCATACTAGATTATACTTATTTCTTCTTTATGTAAAACAAATAAATAAAATAGATTTTGTTAACCAAACAACAATAATAACGCATACATTAAAATAACAGATGAATGAGATAGTTAGCAAATCAATATATAGACTTAAGACTTTCACTTAATATTTTCGAGATTACAACTTGGTTCAATATATGTTTTACTTGCCTTTTTCGAAAGCATTACTAAATTTCAACTACCAAAAGATAAATGACTATTCTATACAATTCAACGTCTACCTCCACCATCAACACTCTTGGAATATTGCCCTTCACTTGAGACTTATGTTGTTTCGAAGCATACTCCATTTTCTTATCCTTCTTCTCGTCTTTAGTCTTCTTGATTTTCTTCTTAATCTCTCTGCAAGAATATCAAATTTATTTGAGTCAACCCAAATTTAGGTTAATATAGATTGAATATAATGAATGTTTTCGGCAAAGAAAACCTACAATAATGCATCTTCTCTACTCTCTTCTTTTGAAAGACATCTAAAGTAGCACAAACGATTGACCGTGCGTAGGATTTCTTGGTTTCATGTCACCTCCTCTTCACAGTCTCTTACAAAAGTGAGAAAAATATATATATTGAAACACCATTTGTTGAATTAGAAGAAAAAATGTTATACAATTTACTAATAATAGAAAACTTGGAATATGATGGTTTGTGAGATGTGTGTCTTAATATTTATAGGGAATTTTTTGTAATAAAAGCATATTTACGTTAGATAACTATTTAACTTCCACAATCATCTTTTGTTTTTGATAAAAATTTCACAATCATGTTTGAATGTCATTTATGAGTAAATATAATTGTATTTATATCATAAATTTTTATGTTACATTCCAAAGAATTCATTGCGAAGAATTCATTTTGTATTAAATGTATTTGAAGAATTGTTTCAATTTACAAGTTAGATTTTAAGGACCAAATGTTACAAAATTGTGTAATCTTTTATATTCTTTTTAATTTTCAAATTAATATATTCAACATTTTCCATTAGTTTTATTGTAATCATTACTATTAACATTAATTAATATGGAAGTTACATCAAAAATTGTAAACATAAATAAATATAAATCATTTATTTCATTAATAACATAAATATAGTTATTAGTATGGAGGTTACAAAAATGTGAGGAAATGCATAAAATATATTTATTGTAAATTATTACTTAAAATTTCAATATTATTACATGGCAATGATGTGGATGCCAAGCGGCCCAATAAAGAGAGTTAAATATATCAATTTTAATCATGACACAACAAGGTAATCAAGTTGGAAAGATCCATTTCAATTATCTACTTTAGATGTTTGATTATTTTCTAACATATTCATGTAATTTTTTTAATTATGCAATATTTAATCAAATAAATTATTGTAATATATTTATCAACTATATTTTTCTTACCTCTTTCTTATCTCGAATAAATTTTGTAATTCATTTTAATATATGTATCATTATATTTAGTTTTGTGATCCAATAGATAATTATATAAAGATCGATATAATGTTTATTTTATTCAAAATTTGAGGTTTAACAGTTTTTCTTAGAAAGCAAAAAGAACTTTGTTAAAAAATTTGGTCCTTAAGATTAAAAAAATGAAATCATATGTGTCAAGAAAAATTAATTTAGTTAGAATGAAACCTAACACTCATACTTAAATAGAGTGAAATATAGAAAAATAACTATAACTAAAACAAAATTCATATTTATTAAATCCTATAAAGATGAAACCATTAGTATGAAATCTAGCATTAGAATTTCAATTGATGAGTGAAATTAAAAAAAAAAAAAGAAGAAAGATCGAAGTTATCATTGAGATCTTTAAAAACAATATTTAGATTGAACTTCATATGATTTTTATAAGAAAAACAAATTTAGTTTGTCACTTATAAAATAATATGAATTTGAACTATTATGTGGGAGTTTATATCAACAAATAAACAATTTTTTAGTGTGTTTATATCAACAACTACTAAATATGAGCAAATGCAAAATATCAAATCTTAAGAGCTTTTTAAATTTCTTCCAATCATACTTATATTGAAACAAATTTCTTTATAAGAAAATATCCCGCCGCGTAGCGCGGGCTTTTATCTAGTTTATATTTATATTAAGGACTATATTCAATCGGTTTAGAAGTTTTGGTTAGACTCAAATTGAAATCGGTTTAGAGATTTGAATTGGTTTGATTCAATTTAACAAAAATTGATGGGTTAAATGGGTAAACCATTAAAACCATTGACCCATTATAACCCAACTCATTTGAACCATCAACCCATTTGACTCAATAACTCATTTGATTCATCAACTCATTTGAGTCAAAATTTTGAACTCATTAGAGTTCATGGGTTGAGTTGAGTTGGGTTGACCCATGAATCTTGACTCATTTTGACACCTGTGCTCAAAACCATTGTGATAGCGTTAGGAGAATATTTAGCAGGTAACATTAAATTGTACATATATAGACTTTTGATTCTGCAATATGTTTTATAAGATAGATATTTATATAATATTTTGGTTCACACATTATAATAATATATTACAGAAATGTAAATTCTCACAATAAGTCAAACTCCTAAACTTCATCATCTCAAGTTTATATAAGTTACAAAGAAGCTCTTTTCTGCTTTATCATAGATTTCAAAACAAATTTCTTCATTTGGACTGCAACGCTCTGACGGTTACTTGAAAACTCCGCTTTTGTAACCACAGATATGCCTTTTACCTTTCTCATCTTCTTCCAAAAGGACTGCTTCCCAGTAAAAATCACTTGCATCCGTCTGTAGGATTCTTTTGCCTTTTGATGGAATCTTTAATGCTGGCAGGGTCTTCGAAATTCGTTTGAGCTCCTTTACTGCTTCAGTGCATTTTTTATCCCAAGTAGGGGCATTTTTCTTGAGTTGAGCAGAGAGTATCGATCTGTGCTTCGCCAGGCCGTGGATGAATTCCGACATGTAATTGACAATGCCAAGGAATTGTTGGACTTGCTTGAAAGAGAGGTTTTCGTCAGGGAACTCATCTAGTTGCGTTGCAATATGAGGCTGAAGATGATATTCTCCTTGAGAGATGTGCATACCCAGAAAATCTATCTCTGTTTCTCCAATCGCCATTTTCTTTTCAGAAAGCATGACTCCATATTGTTGCACAATGTTGTGAAATTTCGCCAGTAGTGCTGTATGGGAATCAATGTCCGAAGAGAATAACAGAATATCGTCGATGTAGACCAGTGCGTTCGGGAGGATTGGCTCAAAAATCTTGATCATGGCTTTTTGAAACAGTGAAGGTGCAACTTTTAATCCAAACGGCATGACTTTCCAGTGGTAATGTCTATCTGGTATGCAGAACCCAGTCTTTGGTCTATCCTCTGGTTTGATTCCAAGTTGCCAAAAACCTGCTTTCAGGTCAAATTTGGAGAAGACTTGTGCTTGGGGAAGTCTTTGGAACAGGACTTCTCGCTTTGGTAGAGGAAACTTGTCATCCGCAAGGAAATGGTTTAGCGGTTGGTAGTTGATGACTAACCTTAGTTTTCCTCGTACTTGTTCAGCTCTTTTGTTGACATAGAAAGCTTCACATGCCCACGGTGAGGTGGTCTTCTCAATGAGGTCTTCTTTTTGGAGTTGGTCAACTTCTTCAAGTGCCAAATTGTAATGGTCTGGATTCATTCCCGGATGGCTTGCTTTGGTTGGATTGACATCTTCATTCTTTTTGAAAGGTAATGATATAAAGAAGTCCGGGTTCTTCCATAATGGTGATGAACATTTTGTGAGGAACTCTGAATGCGAGGCAGCGCAAGAAGTTCTGATGATATCTTCTTTGACGGGATTGAGAATCTCCATAGGGTAAAGATGAGAAACAGTAGTCCATGGTAGTAGATGATTCTTGTGTTTAAGCCCTTTGGGATGCCAAGATACTCTCTTGAGGCCATGAAGAACATCAAACCCAAGTATGAAGTCTTTTCCAGGTAGTTCAGACCCATATACCTTAGATTTGATCATGTATCCCGGAAAGAGTTGGATATAGATGGGCTTACTGATTAAGGAGATGTGGAAAATCTGACCATTTGCCGCCTTAAAAGCCACCGAACAGGGATTCCAGTGAGAGGCTGGAAGTATGTCTGGCTTGATGATGGATGATGCCGCTCCCGTGTCTAGATAAGCTATGACTGGGATTGGTTTGTCATACTTGGTCGGGAAGATGTAGATTTTGGCGTTGGGCGATGGTTGAGATATGAATGCCAATTCTTCCCTTTTCGGTTCTTCAACCTTACAGGCATCAAATGTGTAGAGGTCAAATAGCATGAACTGGTCATCTGCGTCTTCTTCATTACTTGATTCGTCTGAAGAGTCTTTATCTTGTTCAATACCCATAGCTAGGATTGTGTCGTCTGATGGTTCATCGTCAAGAGAGAAAATGGATTCAATGTCGGAGTCATCGATATCTTCGATTTGGGCCAAGTATCCGAGTAGATTGTCTCTCTTCTTCTTGTTTGGGCATTGTTTTGCATAATGACCTTTTTTCTTGCAGATGTAACATCTATCTGATTTCTTGAAACCTCTTTGTGACTTTTTCCTGAAGAACTTCCACTTCTTTTTCCCTGAAAATTGGGGATACTTCTTCTGCCATTTCTTTGTGAATTTTCTTTCTTTTTTGTAACTTGTTGAGCATCCACACTTCTTCTGTTTGCATTTGATGGATAGATCTGGACGATCACATGCTCTTCCGAGGAGTTTTCCTTCTTCTTGCATCGTCTTTAAAAACTTTTGATGATTGCATAACTTTTCTAAAGCTGCAAGAGACGTCTGGAATATTTCTCCTAAGGAGGCTTGACCAAGATTTGCATTCTTGAAAGATAGCAGCCTAGAGGTCTCGTTTCCAAGTGGTTCTGGAAGTGAGTTTAGGTATGACTGCTTGAGGTTGACGTCATCTATCCCGTTTAGGGCATAGTATCTTTTAGACATCCTTTCATAGTGCTTCTCTAGGTCTTTTCGTTTGAAAGAACAACATTTCATGCTGAGGTATTCTTCTCTTGCTTGGTCTGTGTAGTGATTCCATGCTCCAAGAAATTCATTGTGGATGTGCCCGACCAATGCATCAATTGAAGGAGTTTGACGTATTTGCAACTGTCGGTACTCACCAAGGCTTATCCACCATTGTCTGAGTCGTCCTTGGAATTTGGAGACTAGTTTGTCAATGACCGTAGGGAGGGTGGCTCCTGGGTGGAGTAGATGTTCCGTAAGCCAAGCGTGCATCTCATAGATCTTGTCTCGCCATTTTGATGGGGGGATTTCGTCAAAAGAGAAACCATGATGAGGTTCAGCATCAAACCTTGGGTTCCACTCTGGTTTATGTTCTCTCGTTTCTTCATATATGTTCCCATCATCGCTGTCATTTTCTTCTACAATTGGTTCTGCCATCATGAAGTGTGGGATTAGTACTTCTTCCTCTATTTCTTCTTTTATCTTTTTAGATCTCCTTGGTTTGACCTTGCGCTCTGAGCTCATCTCTTGTTTAGCAACCTTCTCGAGAAAAGTAGAAATTGGGTTGGCATGTTCAACCATAAATTGACCTTCACTTCTTTCAGGCGGGTTTTGAGACTTTGAAGTGCTTGGAACATGTTCCTTTTCTCTTTCTGTTGACTGTTTCCTCTTTGCTTGTCTCTCTGTAGCAATTCGTGTTGGTAGGAAGGAGGATGACCCAAAAACACTTGGATCTTGAGAAAAAGATAAAGGTTGTGATTGGGCTGTGTGAGGTGGAGTATAAACAGGATATGGTGTAAAAAGGTCATATGGCATTGGCTGGGGTTTTGGCTGATTTTGTAAGGAATTTAGTTGGGCTCTGAGGGATTTTAGCTCTGACTCCTTTTGGTACATGAGGGGTGAATTTATGGAAACAGTAGTGGCTAGGTTAAGGAGTTCTTGGTGTAGGGAAGAGATTCTTCTGGTTATATCCTTGATGGAGAGGTCTATGAAGGTTACCTTTTTGTCAATTTGGCTCAGTAGGCGATTTTGAGTTGCTGCATTTTCTGATTGCCAATTCAGCGTTGCTTCTGCTGCACTGATCTGCTTCATCGAACCATCTGGATTCTTTGTGTTCGGGTTTCTGATCTTCCACGAATGCTTAATGTTGTTTTCTTCAAAATCTTGTGATGGAAATGATGGTGCTTGATCTGATGGAGGACCAAACATGTAGCTCAGCCGAACATCTTGTATATCTGGAGTTGTGGGGGTCGCATTACTTGGGTATAATACATAGTATTCAAAGTTTCTTCCGCTCGGTTCTCCAAGTAGGCCGACTTGTGGGTCTCCCGACTCATAACGTTCTTTGAGAATCTGTTGAGAAGACTTCTTCTTTCTTCGTCTTGGTTTGTCTTCTTCATCAGAACTGTCCATTAAGCAATTCTCACAATCACAAACATCAAAGAATTTGTGACCTGAGTCATCAACAAATGAGTAGACGGGATCTCCGAGTGAATCAAACGACTCGATTGGAACGCCAGGTAGTTGTTTGTATAATTTCTCATCACCGTAATCATTCGTTGGAGAGATCGTATTGATTTCTGTGCAGAAAGCTGTTGGTCTTGGCTTTTCTTCTTGTTGCTTAAAAGCAATCTCCACTGCTCCGTCTTTTCTTCTGTGAATAGAAGAATCCACTGATTGTATTGGAATACTTCTATCATGGAGTTTCTCATAGTTCGTCACCCATGATTCAGGAAGTAATTTAACCAATTCTTCTCTAGGGATTTGTCTCGGAATATGGATGCATGAAGGGCTATGTTGTGATTCCAGTTGAATGAGCAAAGCATCCTCTGTATCTCTAGGAAGACTGAGATCCATGGCATGGTTTTGAACTCTGTACGCCATCTGATGGTGGAGTGTTGCTGCATAAGTATTTCCGATTTGTGGAGCACCTGTGATTTGGAGCTGGATCTGCATATTCTGGTAGATCTGGGGATCTTCAAGCGCCACGTTGAAGTTTGGAAATAGTGTGACAAAGACAGTACCAGCGTTCAGAGTGGTCTGGATTGTTGCGATGCATGCGTGCTGGTATTCCCTGTATCTGGTGTCGAGAAGAGCGACTCTTGCTACAACAGGTAGACCTTTCCTTCCATGGAGGGTTAAAGCTAGGCGGATTGCTCCATAATGAAGGTGAGTGTAGCCATGAGCTCTCCACTGGTGAATCATCCCCTCGTTGAGTCGGAGAGGAATCATCTGTTCTGTTTCAGTTGCCGGGACAAGATGTTGTTCAAGCTGGGAGGCTAGAACAAGTTCTCTCGCCGCATGCTTGTGCGGACCAAAGACACTTTTTATGACTTTTGGGAAAGTAGAGTTGGGTTTTGTGAAAGCTTTATAGGGGTTTAATAAAGGAAGTTGGGTAATAGGAACTTTACTCTCATCACTTACATATTCTACTTCATATAGATAATCTATTTTACTAGCGTTTGATTTTCTGAAAGAAGAGGATTTCATTAAAGAAGATGAACTTTCCATAGTGTTTGTAGAGACCAGAAACCATAACAGAATGCTTTATATCTTACCCTACCCTTGAAGTAATAACAAACCTTGAATCGTTTTTCTTATTTCAACAAGTGCTAAGTATATAAAGAAATTAATCAAGAGGTACTTGGCTACGCAAACCGAGGCAAAACTCTTTAACAACCATTGGAGCCTCAAGGTACTTCGAGCCACTATGACCTCACAGATCTCTTTCTTTATACGCTTTTATCTAGCTTAGTCAGATTTCTGATGTGGAGGATCCATAAACATGGCAACCACAGAGCATACTTTCTATACTAGCATATAGTAGAAAAACGACACAAGGATGTACTACGACTTAGGAAGGTAAGAGCTAAAGCTTAGACTGCCATGGCTCTGATACCAAATTTACAGACACATAGTGGGTACAACCACGAAGGAGCTATTTAGGATCAGATGTATGGACAAAGGCTATATTAAAGGAAAGTATATAGAAGAGGATAGAATTATACAAAGGGGGAGATTTTATTAAAACACTCAAAGGATTACACGACTCAAATGATTACAAGACTCTCACTCGCTCAGCTTGGGTTTAACACACCTCCAAGCTCCCTTATTTATAGTACAATGCTTAGGGAATATTACTTAGAATATTCCTTTCTTATCTTACAACCTAGAGTATTCTTTTCTTATCTCGCACACGCTAGAATATTCTAAACTTATCTTACAACGACATCCATAACTTTATTCTTATCTTTATTCACACGCATATCTTATCTTTATTACTTGATTAATAAATTGACTTCACGTGTCTTCTTGGCCTGTGAGCCCAACCCATGTCTAACGACTGATTTGCTATGTCCGAAAAACTTTAAGAACTTTTATGCCGATCCTAATTATAACACCCCGGTTTCAACAATATGGTGGTGCATGCGGAAATGTAACTCCACAGTTAAGCGTATTTGAGCTGCAACAATTTAAGGATGGATGACCTTCCAGGATTCATTGTCAGAACTGTATGAGGACAAAATCTAGGGAAAAATCATATGGTGATTTGTAGGGTTGGTAAACAAGTCTTTAAAACCTCGCGGACTTAGCAGACCGACTGTCAGACAAGAGTAGGGCCCACGGGCCTGAGAGAGGACGTGGGTGCTAACTGGTAGGGGTGGTCGGGGCGTTACAAGTTGTATCAGAGACGAACCCATACGAGTGTTGAGTCAAGAGGGCTCACATCGCCGGAGATGACAGTCTTGGTGCGCAACGAGGACGTTGCGATATCTTAGTAAGGGTGAATTGTAACACCCTAGTTTCAGGAATATAGTGATCTATGCAGAGAGATTTAAAAGAATTTTTTTGGCCACCTCTATCACGAAAGTGCACTTATCTTTTCGG